TTGGGAAGCACACCGAGTATGTTGAGTTTTGATTGGATGGAGAATGGTTCCTACAAAAGTGCACACACACACACAACATTTATATTTTTAATTGCAAAAAAACATTCGTATCCGGTAAATAGTCCAATTTCTACTACTCCGATGTTTCAAAGGTTGCATAAAAGTAATTTTTTTGTCTTCGGCAAGCAATCAGAACACTGGCTACATGTTTGTTTAACCTTAAAAATCGTAAAAAATTGCCTTCTTTCGAAAAAACTATACCGCATGATCCTTGCTTGCTAGAAGGCAATTTTGCAGTTTGATTGTTACTTTGTCATATTCTGTCCCTATTTCCTTTCAATAAAAGCAAAATTTTTAATTCAATTCACGTGATTCTACTTTGTACACTTTTAATCTGTTCAAGCAGGAAGAAATTGAAGGTTGAGCAATTATGGAAATTTTTTTTGAAAAAAAAACAAATAGAATTGTCGTTGCATTATTCTTTGACGGACTTTTTAAATATAATAAAACTAGCGATTTTCTCGTCTTCACTGATTTATCCAATAACAATACTTTTTTTCACTAATAAGCCCTAATCGATTGCATATTAGTTCAAGTTTACACAGGTATCGGCTCATTTGGCGTATACTTGATTAGTTTTCATAAAAGCCCTTTGGGTAATCCGCAAATAAGTATAGCACATACTGCTGAACTGGAAGTTGCGGAATCACTCAGCTTCTTATCATATTTGAATTCTTATGAATTTGCCTACAGTGTGTGCATACAAACAGTGCACTTCGCTTCAGTTCAATTTAATGATGATATTGTTTAAGTCAGACCTCTAATTACTGAAATCATTGCAACTCATTGAAAATTACCTGAGATTTTTTGGGACTATTGATATTAATTTGTGTAGATGGTATTTGTTGTGTCTGTGACTGCATAGGATTGAATATTTCCCCAGTCGAGCGGAGGTCAATTGCCGATCTTCGTCGGTTTTTATCAGGTGGACCGAAAGGGCCCTCACAGACTGACACGGTGAGAAGATTTGAGCTACTGAGGACATTTTGTGAGGATACGAAACTCTTAAAAGTGTCAGTGGAAACATTGGAAGAGGAGCGTATTCGTTGGGGCAACAGCATGGACTCGTCATTATTACTACGGCTAATAGGAATTGGAGAAATGCTTTTCGCATTTTCCTCTAACATTAATTGAGGTCGAGATTCGGGGTTACTGTCATCATTTTGCTGTCCTTTTAACTGAAATACAAAATTATTCCTGTTGAAAAATCATGCAGCGATTTAATTAGCCAATTTTGAATTGCAATAATTCTAGATTTCGTGTTTGTTTTTTGAGCCTATATGATGGAAAATCTATATCGATCTCCTCCACAAAAGTAATTGTTAGGCAAGAAATTTTGTCTTTCCATTACCTGATGAAAATTTAGATTTGGCCATGGAACAATTCTGCATTGATTGGTTTGTTAATGAAAGAAAATATTTGATCACTTTCGTAAATAACAGATTGTGAATAATAATCAACCTATTTATCGATTTATTTATCATTTCATTATGCCCATAATTTCTTACTTTATATTTGAATTCATAAAGACATATTTGTATATAAAGTTCAAAAAAAATGTAGCACAATTGATTTAGAATTGGAAACGAAGTAAAAGTATGAAATTGGATTAAATTAATCCATTAGAACCTTACCGGAAGAATTATATTCCCACTGCCACGCCTTTGTATGCATCGTGGTGGGTCGATAAATGAAATGCCTAATCGTGTATTAAAAAAAGGCTTTAATTAATATTCCTATATTGGTTCGCAAATACCAAGTATGTTTTTCTCAAACATGGCATTAGGGGTGTGTGAAAGCATAACCTAATAAGAAATGCGAATATCATTCCCAATTTTGCTAAAAAGAGCGAACTTTAATCTTTGAATAATATTTTAAAAGAAGAATAGTGGAATGTCAAGTGGGAGATAAGAGCAGGGAGAGGGCTCAATCAAATAGAAATATTAAAGTCTGAGTATGATGGATACTCAATTTCTGGAAAAGTTGGCTTTGCTGTTTCATAGAATAGTGAAAGGCCACTGTGACATGTATAAACTTTTCAAAGTTTAAATTTCCAACTTGGAACGCCAAGTTTTTTTGATAAGAATATATATTTGCAATTTTTAAAATGTACAAACCAGTCGATTTTGTGACTCTCGATAGTGTTATCATACGTGAATAATCGAAATTATCAGTTGATATCAAATGGAACGCAATGAAGCCATAACGATTCATTCTTATGGTAATTAAAAGTAAATTAATATTTTACGAGTGCTTCAGAAGGTTCTGCGAAGTGGGGTCAAAATGTTTTAGCTACATTAAGCTAATCAAACTATTAACGTTTTGCTTAATTTGAAAGAGAGAATGAGGCTTGACTACAATGTATTATACTGTAGCCAAGAAGGAAAGAAACTCCTCCAAGCCGATTAGATGGAAGCGGCTTCTAAGTGTAAGATTTCACGTAGCTTAATGAAGGGATGCGGATTTGTTCAATCAGATTTAATATTGTGAACTTATAATTATAATTGTAATGGTAATAGTAAAAATAAAAAAAAACAAGCCCATCCGTGTAGGGTTGAAATTTGAGGGGAGAGCCAAGTGGGTGTGCGATAGACTTACCTCCACGTGGTGCACCCTGGAAATATGCCTTCACTATCAACATCTTATTTGGAAGCGGAGGGGTGTGTGCGATAGACTTACCTCCACGTGGTGCACCCTGGACAGCGTGCGATAGACTTACCTCCACGTGGTGCACCCTGGGCAACTTTCAACCCTTGCTGGTTTTCTAAACAATTATTCTTAAGAATACGATAGACTTACCTCCACGTGGTGCACCCTGGACAACGTACTTTCAAATGGCAGGCGTTATGATAGGTATCATGGGGTGTGCAATAGACTTATAAACTTACCTCCACGTGGTGCAGCCTGGGCAACGTATACCCATACGGCCTCCACGTGGTGCACCCTGGCCAACGTATAATCATACGGTCTTACCTCCACGTGGCGCACCCTGGGCAATGTATACTACACCTTACCTCCACGTGGTGCACCCTGGGCAACGTATTCTCATTCGGCTACCTCCACGTGGTGCACCCTGGGCAATGTATACTCATACCGCAAAAGGTACCTCCACGTGGTGCACCCTGGCCAACGTATAATCATACGGTCTTACCTCCACGTGGCGCACCCTGGGCAATGTATACTACACCTTACCTCCACGTGGTGCACCCTGGGCAACGTATTCTCATTCGGCTTACCTCCGTGGTGCACCCTGGGCAATGTATATTTAGACTTACCTCCACGTGGTGCACCCTGGGCAACGTATCCACATATGGCAAAAGGTACATACGGCCTCCACGTGGTGCACCCTGGCCAACGTATAATCATACGGTCTTACCTCCACGTGGCGCACCCTGGGCAATGTATACTACACCTTACCTCCACGTGGTGCACCCTGGGCAACGTATTCTCATTCGGCTACCTCCACGTGGTGCACCCTGGGCAATGTATACTCATACACCTCCACGTGGTGCACCCTGGGCAACGTATACTCACGATAGACTTACCTCCAGGTGGTGCACCCTGGACAACGTATACTCAAACGGCACGTGGTGCACCCTGGGCAACGTATACTCATACGGCTCCACGTGGTGCACCCTGGGCAACGTATACTCATGCGGCGAAAAATTCTACCAAACCGGCAGTCGACTTCTGATTTTAAACTGCCATATTCGACCCCTACCTTAGTATTCCTCTTACCCTTTCTGAGCCTTTGTGTCTGTCTGTCATTCTTTTACATATGTGAATCACTCTTCTGTTAACTCTCTCGAATTTTTCTCACTTTGATGTTCCTCCTTCTCCTCTCTGTGAAGCCTGAAGTTTACTAAAGGCCCAATGATAACTATCAAAACGCCTGCCATTTGAAGTAGGTAAACAAATATTGTGTACTTTTAACATCTCTCTTTAATCACTTCTCCATGAAAATACCCTAAAGGTGCATATATGAATAGATTGACTCTTTAATGGTTATAATAAACACTGGAAGTCAATAAAAGGACATTGGTATTTTTCTTTTAGGGAAGAATCTGCCAGCCTATTTACATCAATACAGCAGTTTCACCATTAGAATTTCTAATCGAAACTGAAATAGAGTCTTCTGTAGAAAGATTTGAAAAGTCACCTGAATTAATTAATTTTATAATTAACATGTATCTTGCCAAAATACTTACTCCCTTTTGGTCCATTAGCATCACCTGTACTCCTAAAAAGGAAAAAAAGTAAAAAATGTTAAAATACATGACATTAGCTATTTAATTTTTAAAAAAATACTTCCGGTTTCCTAATTTTTATAACATTACGTCATGTTTCCAGCCTTACAGCCACATTGACAGAGGTTTTGGTAAATTCTGGTTAGGCTACTTCGATTTCATAACTCTCATTCTGGAAGTTATCACGTAGCATCTTCCAGATATAATCATTTGAATTAGCTTATATTTCATTAGTATTTTCAATTTTTTTAACTAATCAAATCTACTTAAGGTATTTGGAGTAGAAAATAAAAACTGCATAAAATTCCGATTAATAAGTTGAAATCTTTTCCCAATTGAATTGGAGTTGAATTTTTACCACTTAAATATTTTGATCTTAATAAATAAAACAAATATAATAATTTTACAGCATATTTTAATGTTTTGTGTGGAGAGAATTTGTAACATTTAAAATTTTTCACTACCATGTAAACAGAGAGGAAAAAATGTTTTATTAACTACAATCTGAGAGACAATTTTTTGCGATTAGATGCGTTTTGCTCGCATAAATTTGGAGAGAAATAATTTTGATTGGACTCGTATTTAGAAAGCAACTTAATTAGTAAAATTGCTTTATTTTACTTTGACTGAATTCCCCAATTTACACTACTCAAAGACAGCTAGTTTTAATTGAATAATAATAGTTTATTGTATTTGCTAATTGTGTAGGGAATATTAGTTGGATAATAAGGTGAGCAAATTTCTTATTCTAGCGCTTTGAAGGAGAGTTCGGCTGGTAATCCGAATTGCATTCCCACTTTTCAATTGCAATGTTTGGCTTAAATGGTTATACTTAATGGAACATATGTTCTTAAGTCTGAATATTTTACGACAAACTTTGCCCACAACATCGCAAAGCATAAGTATTGCGGGTGGAGGACCATTTCTCATCTACAAGCTTGTTGATTCTGTTAAAATGCCTCTTCAATTAGCAGGACCAACGCCACTCGAGTGGCAGTCTATTTTCCAAGACCTTATCTAAATAACTATCGAGAAATTAATGAGACTCTTAGATATGGTTTATTTTTATTTATTTCGCATTTGGGTAAAGAAGGGCATTCGAGCTGCTGATATGTACAATGAGTTAGAAACAAGTAGTCGTAAAATCGCTATCTAAATTGTAAAATGTGAAGCTTGTTGAAGAAACCAACTTCTCCAATTTTACTAATAGTCAAATTACCCCATTAAATTTTGACTCAAAGGTTTTCTTTTCTTACCCTCGATCAATGCGGACTGTAATATTTTGATCAAAGCATTTTGTAATGCTCTTTTGAGGGTTCAACTGAGGACTTTCCTGGACCACTGGCGATGGATTGGCTTCATTAAGAAAATTGAGATATTCGTAGAGAGTGGACATGACGTACTTGAACTAGTAGAAAAATGAGAACACGAACATTTGTAATAAAAATACTATTATAGACAAAGGATTCGGAGTAAAAGCAATTGAAATGGAAAGAATTAGAAAAATATGAATGCAGTGTAAACAAACATAACTTTAAAAATGCAAGGCATATTTACTAGTTTAAATTTATTTCTAAAGAACAAAATAAAGGATGGTCTCTAATGCCATGTCACCAAAAATATGTTTACATCATTAGAAATGCCTCGTCTATCATTGCAAACTATTCGTAGGAAAGTATACTATGCCAACTAGTCTTATGTAAATTGCAAACAATTTCGGATATGAGAAGTTGAAGAAATATCATTTTTAACTAATAGAACCTCTAAAAGTAGAGAAATGTGGTGAAAGTTATTGAGAGAAAGTAATACCCCTAAACTGTTATCTGCAGGTGTGAAACATTTCCCTCACCAATTTCATCAATTCGACTTCATCTTTTGAAGATGATTCTGGTTAAATCTT